TTTTTCCCCTCATCAATCTACACACAATACCCCATAAGACAGGATAAATACAGGATAATACCCCATAAGACAGGATAAATACAGGATAATACCCCATAAGACAGGATAAATACAGGATAATACCCCATAAGACAGGATAAATACAGGATAATACCCCATAAGACAAACCAAAAACAGGTTTTTAGAAATGTATAAATATAAAAAACGGAAATATGACATTTAGATAATTATTCAGACCATTTATTCAGTACTTTGTTGAAGCACCTTTGGCAGCGATTACAGCCTCGAGTCTTCTTGGGTATGACGCTACAAGCTTGGCACACCTGTACTTGGGGAGTTTCTCCCATTCTTCTCTGCAGATCCTCTCAAGCTCTGTCAGGTTGGATGGGGAGCGTCGCTGCACAGTATTTTCAGGTCTCTCCAGAGATGTTCGATCGGGTTCAAGTCCGGGCTCTGGCTGGGCCACTCAAAGACACGGTGGGAGGGCTGTCATGTGCCTTTTACTTAGGAGTGGCTTCTCTCCGGCCACTCAACAATAAAGGCCTGATTGGTGGAGTATTGCAGAGATGGTTGACCTTCTGGAATGTTCTCCCTCATCCACAGAGGAACTCTGGAGCTCTGTCAGTGACCATTGGGTTCTTTGTCACCTCCCTGACCAATGCCCTTCTGCCCCGATTGATCAGTTTGGCCGGGCGGCCAGCTCTAGGAAGAGTCTTTTTTCTTTTCTTTTTCTTATTTTTTTTGTTAGGGGGTAGATCAGCTTAATATTGCAGATAGATTGAATCTTCTATCAATGTAATTGTCTGCATCACTTCCAATCCCCCATGTTTTATATATATATATATATATATATATATATATACATACATATACATATATACACACATACACACATACACACATATATACTTTTTTCAATTAGTATATTTAAGTTTATCCACAATATTTGTTGCATAATTTGTTCTGTCGTTTCTGGAGGATTCAATTGAAATTGCAACCAACTTTCTATGGCTTGTTTTAGAAATAGTGATATTTGGGAGATTATTTCCTTTTCAAATAACTGATAGTGAGAGGTTGTAATCTGAATAAAGGTAAAAAGGCCATTCTTGAACATTGGGTGAGACAATCTTACTAATTTAAGTATAACTTTTGTATGACTGAAGCTTTTAGTGATAGGTCTAATGCTATAATATTTAATAATTTCTGTCCTCCGAATTCATATTCATTATATAAATAGGCCCGTTTAATTTTGTCTGGCTTGCCGTTCCAAATAAAATTGAATATTTTTTTCTCATATAATTTAAAAAACTGTTCGCTAGGCGTAGGCAAGACCATAAGCAAATAGGTAAACTGGGATAATACTAAGATTTTGTATTGGATTCAGGTCTGGAGACTGGCTAGGCCACTCCAGGACCTTGAGATGCTTCTTACGGAGCCACTCCTTAGTTGCCCTGGCTGTGTGTTTCGGGTCGTTGTCATGCTGGAAGACCCAGCCACGACCCATCTTCAATGCTCTTACTGAGGGAAGGAGGTTGTTGGCCAAGATCTCGCGATACATGGCCCCATCCATTCTCCCCTCAATACGGTGCAGTCGTTCTGTCCCCTTTGCAGAAAAGCATCCCCAAAGAATGATGTTTCCACCTCCATGCTTCACGGTTGGGATGGTGTTCTTGGGGTTGTACTCATCCTTCTTCTTCCTCCAAACACGGCGAGTGGAGTTTAGAACAAAAAGCTCAATTTTTTTCTCATCAGATCACATGACCTTCTCCCATTCCTCCTCTGGATCATCCAGATGGTCATTGGCAAACTTCAGACGGGCCTGGACATGCGCTGGCTTGAGCAGGGGGACCTTGCGTGCGCTGCAGGATTTTAATCCATGACGGCGTAGTGTGTTACTAATGGTTTTCTTTGAGACTGTGGTCCCAGCTCTCTTCAGGTCATTGACCGGGTCCTGCCGTGTAGTTCTGGGCTGACCCCTCACCTTCCTCATGATCATTGATGCCCCACGAGGTGAGATCTTGCATGGAGCCCCAGACCGAGGGTGATTGACCGTCATCTTGAACTTCTTCCATTTTCTAATAATTGCGCCAACAGTTGTTGCCTTCTCAGCAAGCTGCTTGCCTATTGTCCTGTAGCCCATCCCAGCCTTGTGCAAGTCTACAATTTTATCCCTGATGTCCTTACACAGCTCTCTGGTCTTGGCCATTGTGGAGAGGTTGGAGTCTGTTTGATTGAGTGTGTGGACAGGTGTCTTTTATACAGGTAACGAGTTCAAACAGGTGCAGTTAATACAGGTAATGAGTGGAGAACAGGAGGGCTTCTTAAAGAAAAACTAACAGGTCTGTGAGAGCCGGAATTCTTACTGGTTGGTAGGTGATCAAATACTTATGTCATGCAATAAAATGCAAATTAATTACTTAAAAATCATACAATGTGATTTTCTGGATTTTAGATTCCGTCTCTCACAGTTGAAGTGTACCTATGATAAAAATTACAGACCACCTACATGCTTTGTAAGTAGGAAAACCTGCAAAATCGGCAGTGTATCAAATACTTGTTCTCCCCACTGTATATATATCTTTTTTTCCCCCCCATAGACCTGTCTTTGGCTTCCTCTACTGCTCTCTCTCTCTCTCTCTCTCTCTCTCTCTCTCTCTCTCTCTCTCTCTCTCTCTCTCTCTCTCTCTCTCTCTCTCTCTCTCTCTCTCTCTCTCTCTCTCTTTCTATCAACAGGGAATAGCCGTTTTTGCTGTCCTTTAGATTCTGAGAAAACAGGAGATATGTTGCTCATCATGTTCATGTGTTGAAGGGATGATGAACAGGAATGAAACACATTTTAGTTAGTTTCCAAATCCTCTAATGTACTGTTGCAGTTTAAACCCTCTTCTTCTCCAGCAGCATCACCAACTGTAAAGAGGAATATCAATTTGTTTGCATCATTAAGGAACGCATTAGCATTATACTGTAGAGTGTGGCAATCTCATCAACAGTATATCATAAAGATGTAGGATCTTCATTTAATCACTGTGTTGCAGGAGAACGTTCATAATGCTTCTTGACAGCGTCATTAAGTGTATTTTCTTAGTCCAAGTAAAGTGACACAGGATGGTCATAATGCTTCTTGACAGCGTCATAAAGTGTATTTTCTTAGTCCAAGTAAAGTGACACAGGATGGTCATAATGTTTCTTGACAGCGTCATTAAGTGTATTTTCTACAAGTTATTTAAAATATGATGAAAAAAACCATGATTGTAAAGAATTCATTACAACAACATCAAAGGACTTAAGAAACAAAACTTTCAAACGAAACTTCTTGGCAGGAAAAAATACACATTTGAATAACTTTGGGTTTTGACATTCTTATGTAGTTGTCATAACCAGCCATAAAATAACGCGATATATGTCACAACAGGTGTAAATATATGGATCATGACAGTGTTATGACCATTTTATGACAGGTTATGACACATTATCTCAGCTATTATGATATCAATTGTTCATGGTAGCACTTTACTTGACACCCCAGTGTCATAATATAAACCCCTACAAAAATGTCCATTCATGATAATCCACAAAATATATTTCACATTTCCTGTTGCTGCAGGATTATTTTCCTACTGTAGCAAAAAACTGGCTCAAATTAAGATCCTCCATCTGTAGTTACTATGCAGTTCAAGGCGCTGTCTGCAGATGTGGTCGGTATTTCATTTAGCTGCTGACAACATTTGAATGGTTTAGTCCCAAATGTCACCCTATTCCCTGTACAGAGCACTGCTTTAGACCAGAGCCCTTAGGCGTAGTGCACTATATAGGGAATAGGGTGCCATTTGAGACAAAGAATGACGGAGTTCTAAAAGTGCTAAGGACAACAACAAAAAAACTAGAATATAACATCATAAAATGATATAATTATAAATTACATATAACGGAATACAGACAATAATAGATTCTTAATCTAATAAACAAACAAACGTATATAATGATCAAAATGCAAAAATAAACAAATAAAATTAAACACAATGGTGAAAATCTACCTAGAGTGTAGTTGGAGGGCATTTGATTATTTGGATACAAGTGAAAGTTATATGATCTGTAAATTGAGAGATTAGATGTTTGATAGGTGTAGCAGAGTCCAACACAATCACTATGTGTTTAACGTTGTTACCAATCACTGTGTATTTAACGTTGTTACCAGTTACTATGTATTTAACGTTGTTATCAGTTACTATGTGTTTAAGGTTGTTATCAGTTACTATGTGCTTAAGGTTGTTACCGGCAACTATGTGTTTAACGTTGTTACCAGTTACTATGTATTTAACGTTGTTATCAGTTACTATGTGCTTAAGGTTGTTATCAGTTACTATGTATTTAACGTTGTTATCAGTTACTATGTGCTTAAGGTTGTTACCAGTTACTATGTGTTTAACGTTGTTACCAGTCACTATGTGCTTAAGGTTGTTACCAGTCACTATTTATTTAACGTTGTTACCGGCAACTATGTGCTTAAAGTTGTTATCAGTCACTATGTGCTTAAGGTTGTTACCAGTCACTATGTATTTAACGTTGTTACCAGTCACTATTTGCACTGAGTTAAGAGTTGTTTATGATACAATATAAAAAAAATGAAATATCATCGTCAAGACAAGTAAAACACAGACTCCATGCTTGATCTATCAAACCTAACACTTTCTGTCATTTAAAAAAAAAATGTCCCTACCATCTGACAGTAAAGAGCCGGTGTAGCTGTGTCTTTCCACAGGGGTGACTTTATGTCTTTCTCCCAGTGGACAGGAGAGGATTAGTTGTGTGTCTCACAGATGTCTTTCTCTGTCTCAATCTATATCTTCCATAGTGGACAGGTCAGTCTATATCTCTCTGCCCCAGACAGTGGACAGGTCAGTATATATCTCTCTGCCCCAGGAAGTGCACAAGTAAGTCTATCTGTGTCTCTCTGTCACACATTGTCTCTTCTACAGTGGACTGGCCAGTCTCCATATATCTCAGAGGCCAGTGAACTTCTCGCCCTGCAGGGTTCCATTGGTCTTGTTCAGAGAGGTGCTACTCCCATGTTTACTCTCTCCTGAGGCCTTCATGGCCAGCTCTGCTGCATCTGCCATCGGCTGCTTGTCCTCTGCCTCCGTCTCCCGGTGGTAGAAGTAGTTGAAGTTGGACACGATGACAGGGACGGGCAGGGCGATGGTCAACACGCCAGCGATGGCGCAGAGCGTCCCCACCATCTTACCGCCCATGGTGATCGGGCACATGTCCCCATAGCCCACTGTAGTCATGGTGACCACGGCCCACCAGAAGCCGTCAGGGATGCTGACGAACTGTGTGCTGGGCTCGTCCACTTCGGCAAAGTAGATGGCGCTGGAGAAGAGGATGACTCCGATGAAGAGGAAGAAGATGAGGAGGCCCAGCTCCCGCATGCTGGCCTTCAGGGTCTGGCCCAGGATCTGGAGCCCCTTGGAGTGTCTGGACAGCTTGAAGATCCTGAACACCCTGACCAGACGGATGATACGAAGGATGGCCAGGGACATGTTCTGGCTGGAGTTCTGGTCCGGGGTGGTGACCAGCTCCGTTACCAAGGTGACGAAGTAGGGGATGATGGAGACGATGTCGATGATGTTCATGAGGTTGTGGAAGAAATCGCTCTTGGAGGGGCAGACCACGAAGCGGACAACCAGCTCGAAGAAGAACCAGATGATGCAGGCCGTCTCGATGATGAAGAAAGGGTCGGAGAACGTGGAGATGATGGTTTTGGGCGTGGCTGAGGGCGGGAACAAGGACCCGAGGCCGCCCAGCGATTGGTTCCCATCGAAAGGCATCAGCTGCATGACGGTGGTGGGTAGGACGGGGTCCAGGGAGTTATCCCGGAACTCCGGCAGCGTCTCCATGCAGAAGATGATGATTGAGATAACGATGACGAACACGGAGACCAGCGCCACGCCACGCGCCGCGTTGGAACTCTCGGGGTACTCGAACAGCAGCCAGAACTGGCGGTACATCTCATTGGTCGGGAGAGGGATCTCCACTTCTTTGATGAAGCCCTCGTCCTCTCTGAACTGCTCCATGGCGTCACTCCCCAACTCATAGAACACGATCTCATCAGCAAACACATCCAGCGGAACGTTGGCCGGCCGGCGGATCTTCCCTCCTGACTGGTAGTAATACAGGATGCCATCGAAGCTGGGCCGGTTCCTGTCAAAGAAATACTCGTTCCTCATGGGGTCGAAGTAGTCCATCCTCTTCATAGGGTCCCCCAGAAGGGTCTCAGGGAACTGGTCGAGGGTTTTGAGCTGCGTCTCGAAGCGCAGCCCGGCGATGTTGATGATGACCTTCTGGTCTCCGTCGTCTAGCCCTGTCTTGTCCACGAACACATCCTCGCAGCACTCCTTAGCCAGCCGGCTGAAGATGGTCTCGCTCTGCGTCTGGGTCTCGCTACTCAGCAGCAGCTTCCAGTTGGTGATCATGCTGGCACAGCTAGGGCGCCCCCTCCTGCTGTGGGGTGGCATGATGGGCGACTGGGGCCCACCCAGAGTATTGGGGGAGGGGGACGGGCAAGGGGAGGAGAGTGAGGAGGGGTGGTGGTGCTGGGGGGTGGATGTGAGGTTGGACTGAGGGGAAAGGAGGTGGTGGGAGCATTGTTCGGAGGGCATGTCGACCATCAGGGTCGTGGTCTCGTCAGGGTTGTCTGGGTTGTCCAGCTCATCTTCTAGGCTGCTGTCAATGTCGTCCAGACTCTCAAAGTCCACCAGAGCCACCTCCATGGCTGCTGCTGCTGGGGGGGCTACTACAACTGCTAATAACACTGCTACTACTACTACTACTACTGCTACTACTACTACTACTACTACTGCTACTACTACTACTACTACTACTACTACTACTACTACTACTGCTACTACTACTACTACTACTACTACTACTACTACTGCTACTACTACTACTACTACTACTACTACTACTACTACTACTACTACTACTACTACTACTACTACTACTACTACTACTACTACTACTACTACTGCTACTGTTGCTGCAAGTACACCTAGACCCTGGTCCTTAAAACACGTCCCAGGACACCCAGAGGACTAGAGGCCAGGGTAATCTTGTCCAGGAGACCTTAATACAGGTTCCAGAGAGAGGGAGGGCTGGAGATGTAGACCAGGGTAGGCCCCTCCAGGCAAGTCTAGTCCAGGAGTGTTAGATCCCTCTGTCCAGATGAGAAGATCCAGCCTATCAGAGGGCCTTTCTTCAGGCTCTAACGCCCAGAGATGAATGCAGTCTTCAGGGTAACAGGGTGACAACCGATGCTTCATCACCTCTGCTACACACCCTCTCCTTCTAACACCTGCAGCGGAGAGAGAAAGAGAGAGAGAGAGAGAGAGCGAGAAGGTTAGTTTGTGTGTGTGTGAGAGTGTGTGTGTGTGTGTGCGTGTGACATGTTTGCTGTTGACAGTCCTGCTATCTGCAGCACATTCACTGACAGCCCTGTCACCACCGGCTTTAGACTGCCTCTGCTTTTAATCGCTTGACACTGACACCCTGATGCCTGGCACACACATACACACACAAACACATACACACACACACCTGCTCCTTCCTCATGTTCACTTGCTATACAGCTGACCTGGTTAGGGCAGAAGGAGAGGAACTATACTATGAAAGAAAATAAATGACAAAGAATGATAGTAAAAAGCTTTGAAGCACCTTAAAGGAAATTTTAGACAAAAAGGCAAACTCCATCATGCATTGAATCAGATGGCTCATTCATCACAAAACCCACAAATATTGCCAATTATGTTAATGATTTTTCATTGGCAAGATTAGCAAATTTAGGCATGACATGCCAGCAACAAACGCTGACACTACACATCCGAGTATAACTGATCAAATTATGAAAGACAAGCATTGTCATTTTGAATTCCGTAAAGTGAGTGTGGAAGTAGTGAAATTATTATTGTTGTCTATCAACAATGACAAGCCACCGGGGTCTGACAACTTATTGAGGATAACAGCGGACAATATTGCCTCTCCTATTTGCCATATCTTCAATCTAAGCCTACTAGAAAGTGTGTTCCCTCAGGCCTGGAGGGAAGCTAAAGTCATTCCGCTACCTAAGAATAGTAAAACCCCTTTTTCTGGCACAAATAGCCGACCAATCAGCCTGTTACCAACATTTAGTAAACTTTTGGGAAAATTTGTGTTTGACCAGATACAATGCTATTTTACTCTAAACAAATTGACAACAGACTGTGGGAGCTGTTTTGTTAGACTTCAGTGCAGCTTTTGACATTATCGATCATAGTCTGCTGCTGGAAAAACGTATGTGTTATGGCTTTACACCCCCTGCTATATTGTGGATAAAGAGTTACCTGTCTAACAGAACACAGAAGGTGTTCTTTAATGGAAGGCTCTCCAACAAAATCCAGGTTCCCCAGGGTAGCTGTCTATGCCCCTTACTATTTTCAATCTTTACAATCCAGGGTTACTCCAAGCAGTAAAGTCACTTCAACTTGCTCAATTTCCACATAATGTTGAGGTTTAGGGTTTAGTGAATGATTTGTCCCAAATACAATGCTCTTAGTTTTTGAAATATTTAGGACTAATTTATTCCTTGTCACTATTCTGAAACTAACTGCAGCTCTTTGTTAAGTGTTGCAGTGATTTCACTCACTGTAGTAGCTGACATGTATAGTGTTGAGTCATTTGCATACATAGACACACTGGCTTTACTCAAGGCCAGTGGCATGTCATTAGTATACTGTCATGGTCAAAACACGGACAGCTAACATTAATAATATGCATTTAAGTCTCTCATGGCTCATAGTGGAGGAGAGATTGACTTCATCATTACTTGTTTTTGTAAGAAGTGTTGACATGTTGAATGCACCGAGGTATCTGTTTAAACAACTAGCACACAGATCGGACACCCATGTGTAACCGGTGTGAAATGGCTAGCTAGTTAGCGGTGCGCGCTCGTAGCATTTCAATCGGTGAAGTCACTCGCTCTGAGATCTTGAAGTAGTTGTTTCCCTTGCTCTGCAAGGGCCGCGGCTTTTGTGGAGCGACGGGTAACGGTGCTTTGAGGGTGACTGTTGTCGATGTGTGCAGAGGGTCCCTGGTTCGAACCCAGGTAGGGACAGAAGCAACACTGGCCAATACAATAGGCCCAGAGAAGGGGAGCACGGCTGGCCAATACAATAGGCCCAGAGAAGGGGAGCACGGCTGGCCCATACAATAGGCCCAGAGAAGGGGAGCACGGCTGGCCAATACAATAGGCCCAGAGAAGGGGAGCACGGCTGGCCCATCAATGTACACGGAGAGCTCTCTCCTGGCACAGGAGGGATTGACTTCATCACTACTTGTTTTTGTAAGAGGTGTTGACAAGCTGAATGTACCGAGCTACACACAGCTCGGTACAAGCACACAGCTCAGACACCCATGCATACCCCACAAGACATGCCACCAAAGGTCTCTTCAAAATCCCCAAGTCAAGAACAGACTTTGGTAGGCGCACAGTACTACATAGAGCCATGACTACATGGAACTCTATTCCACATCAGGTAACTGATGCAAGCAGTAGAATCGGATTAAAAAAACAGATAAAAACACACCTTATGGAAACAGTGGGGTTTGTGAAAAGACACACACGGGCACAGACACACATACACATGATAAGACATGCACTCATGGATGTTGTATTGTAAATATGTGACTAGTTTCAGGAAACTAGGCATATGTCGCGGGTCACTAGTTCACAGGAGAACGTCAACTTATTTTACTTATCAAAATGTGAACTTTCATGTGCCTTAATGACACTTGTATGCCATCTATAAATACAAATACAATTGTTAAATTACGAGCCTAGTTGGTTAAGCCACAGAAAAAGACAGCAACCTTCCCACTAGCCATGATTTGCTGAGATAATGAGTGGGCTGGACATGCCAAGAGAGGAGTTCGGATTGGTCTGCCATATAGCCCACTTCTGTCTATTTGAGCTGGTCAATATGTGTAGGTAATCCTGTCTAACGCGGCTTAAAAAAAAATTATGGTGTAGTGGAGCTGCATAAGTGTTGCTCTCCACTTTCTGGAGGATCGAGTTTTGAAATCAGTGGAATTAGAGTATGATAGCTAAAGAGATGGAGAAAACACCTGTCTCCGGATTACATCTTCAAACTAAGGGCAACCATGGCATCCGTGACAGGGAGACGCGTCCATCATCCATGATGTATACGGGTAAGATAGTCTAGCTAGCTACATTTTCAGGTGTTACACGTTTCTAATTTTGACAAAGTGGTTTCATTTCAAGCTGAAGTGTACTGTTAACTAGCTAGCTAACTTTATCTGGCTGGCTCGCTAGCTAAAGTTACGTGTATTACCTTATTATTCGTATGTCAGAGCCATTTGCTTGCTAACATTGAACCTGGTTGGTTAGCTACCTGCAGATTCATGCAGGGTAGTAACATCATGAGTTGGGATTATGGTTCATTGTTTACCTAGCTAGCTAGCTAGCTGTCTTAACAACAGACTCCACTATGCAAGTATCCATTTCGGGTGTGTTCGTAAATTCAGTCTGAGTATGCCAGAGCGCAGAATTACTGATGAATTTACGAACGCACAACACCCATTGAATATGGCCGGTGTCAGTAAACGTCGACAAAAAAGCGTAAATAAATTGTTGCCAGCAGCACAGTTACAGTCACCAACGCTCTGGATAACATGAAAACACCCTAACCAGCTCTGCTAGGGCGAGTAAAATGTTCAGAGTGAGGTGTTCTCTCATTTGTGTCTGGAAGTAGCTAGCAAGCTAGCCAATGTTAGCCAGTTAGCTCGGGTGCTTGACTGCCGTTGTGAGGTCAGAACGCTCGGATCAACCCTACTCATCGGCCAGAGCGTCAAGTGTGCGCTCTGAACGCTCCAAGAGCGAAACGAGATGGGTGGGGCTAAAGCTTAAGAGGGTGTGAACGATGCTGAATGGGTGTAGACAAAGAAGAGCTCTTCACTAGGTACCAAAACATTCAAATAACATTTTCTCAAAGTGAGATTACAAGTTTATCAACTCTTAAAGCAGAATTACTTTCCCATTGTTCCCTCAAATGTAGTGTATGATATACCATTTTGTAGCTCTGTGTCTCTGCTTTTATCCAATGTAAAAAACACAATTTCAAATGTTGCTACATAAGACCGAATCACACTGGTGAGGAGAAAGGAGAACAAAGAGGGAAAGGGCTAAATGAAAGGAATGTTTAAACAGACAGAGAGAGAAACAAAACACAGCAATTAGTAAAGTAACCTGCATATTTTAATGTTGCTACATAAGACCGAATCAAGGCGGTCGGTCACATATGTGATAGTGGAGTAGTGGCCTGAGGGAACACACTAAATGTATTGGGTAAAGTGTTATGAAATGTAATGTCATGTAATATTTTTAACTGTATATAACTGTCTTAATGTTGCTGGACCCCAGGAAGAGTAGCTGCTGCCTTGGCAGGAACTAATGGGGATCCATAGTAAACCCCAGGAAGAGTAGCTGCTCCCTTGGCAGGAACTAATGGGGATCCATAATAAACCCCAGGAAGAGTAGCTGCTGCCTTGGCAGGAACTAATGGGGATCCATAATAAACCCCAGGAAGAGTAGTTGCTGCCTTGGCAGGAACTAATGGGGATCCATAATAAACCCCAGGAAGAGTAGCTGCTGCCTTGGCAAGAACTAATGGGGATCCATAATAAACCCCAGGAAGAGTAGCTGCTGCCTTGGCAGGAA